TAATTCTTGACGGTGAAATTCACAATTGGTTGATTATAAACATGTCTATTTCACATTCGCGGAACCAAGTGAGCGCATAAAACAAATGCAGGTCTGTAATGTTAAAGTCGATGTAAATAAGCGTGCTACCCTTATGTTTCAACCGAGTTTTTCCTTTAACAAATTTTGTGTCTACCAAATTGGGTTGGTTGGGGTGTAATACTAATAATAAGTGTTGCCTTTAATTTAATCAATAAAATAAATTGACTTCATTAATTTTTTTGAACCACCTCTCTAAGAAAATCTAAAAAATATGAATGGAATGATAAATCACAAGTACAAACTCATCATATTTTTTGCATTTTAGATAGGATTTATTCAGCAAAATTTAAGGGTGACGTCATCAATTTTTTTAGGAGGGATGAACAAATACATTTTGAACAAAAGTTTACCATGCTTATAATAACTTTAAAATATTCCCAAGATTTCAAAGCATTCGGTTTTGTAATTCCTGATTAAATCGATAAAATAAAATAAATTCACGCCTTCATTAATTTTTTTGAGTCACCCTGCATATGCAAATCCAAAAATATGAATGGAGTGATAAATGACAAGTACAGATTCATCATATTTTGTACACTTTAGATACGATTTATTCGGCAAACTTTTGAGCTGACGTCATCAGTTTTTTGTAGAAGATAACCAAATATATTTTGACTAAAAATTTATTATGCTCTTTATAACCTTAAAACATCTGCAAGATTTCAAAGCATTCGGTTTTGTAGTTCCTGATTAAATCAATAAAATAAATTTACGCATTCATTAATTTTTTTGAGTCACCCTGTATATGCAAATCGAAAAAATTTGAATGGAATGATAAATCACAAGAAGAGACTCACCATATTTTGTACATTTTAGATAGGATTTATTCAGCAAAATTTTGTGGTGACGTCATAAATTTTTTAGGGGGGACGACCAAACACGTTTTGATCAAAAATTTACCATGCTTATGATAAATTTAAAATATCTTCAAGATTTCAAAGCATTCGGTTTTGTAGTTCCTGAGTAAATCAGTAAAATAAATTTACGCTTTCATTTATTTTCTTGAATCACCCTGTATATGCAAATCCAAAAAATATTAATGGAGTGATAGATCACAAGTACAGACTGATCATATTTTGTACATTTTAGATATGATTTATTCGGCAAAATTTCGAGCTGACGTCATCAAGTTTTTGGAGGGGATAAGCAAATATATTTTGACTAAACATTTATTATGCTCTTTATTACCTTAAAACATGTGCAAGATGTCAGAGCATTCGGTTTTGTAGTTCCTGATTAAATCAATAAAATATATTTACGCATTCATTAATTTTTTTGAGTCACCTGTATATGCAAATCCAAAAAATATGAATGGAGTGATAAATGACAAGTACAGGCTCATCATATTTTGTACATTTTAGATATGATTTATTCCACAAACTTTTGAGCTGACGTCATCAAGTTTTTGGAGGGGATAAGCAAATATTTTTTGACTAAAGATTTATGATGCTCTTTATAGCCTTAAAACATCTGCAACATTTCAAAGCATTCTGGTTAGCAGATTAAAAATTAAATTTCAAAATGTTGTTTTATAATTTTGATTTTTTTTCGAAAAATCTGGACGTTTCGGGTGAAAAGTCGATTCAGAGTTGTAAACTACATGTGTAGGACTATGTTATTTTATACAATTGAAAACCCATTTACTATGTACAATTTTGAAGTGACGTCATCGCATTAGTGGTGGGGATGATTAGACAAATTTTGGTTAGCGTTTTACCATCTACATGATATTCTTAATATAAGTACAAAATTTCACAACAATCGGTCGAGTACTTTCGGAGATTATCTGTCTAATAAGAATCCGGGACGGCAGACGGACAGACGGACAGACGGACGGACAGACGGACAGACAGACGGAAATGGGAGACCTATTTCTTCGTCTTCTAGGGGTCATGAAAGATCGAGAAAACGTAAAAGTAGAGAGTCGGCCGACGGACTCGATTACAATACTTCCTTTGCTTACGCTCGGGAAGTAAAAAAAAATAATTCTGTTTTTTTTTTGCAATAATGCCTTTATGTTAAAATAAAAATATTGTTACAAATTAAATTTCCAATGACGTCATACATTTCGTAGTGGGGAAAATTTACGAATTTTTATTTTGTTTGCCCACAATTTCAAATTTGTCTGAGACACGCAGTATAAACAATTCTAAACTTGGTCGACAGATTTCGCTAAAAATGCTAAAATTTGATTTTGCCGTTTTTATTTTTTATGAGAAACCCTTTAAGAAGATATAATACATATATGTAATTTTGATTTTTTTGGGAGAGGATAAACGGATAAATTTTCATTAACGATTTACCATAAAACGATAACCTTAAACCATTTGCAAAAATTTCAGAGCATTCGGTTTTGCAGTTTCAAAGTTAATTTTTTTTTTTTCAAAAATCTGAGGGTTTGGAGCGAAAACTCAACACGGATTCATATACCACAAGTGCAGGAGTATCTTATTTTACAAAATTAAAAAAACTATTGTAACTGTTTTTGGTTAGCATATTACCATGTACAACATATTCCTCACATAGTAGTAGTTTCGGAGATATGGCTAATAAAAATTGACACAGAGGACAGACAGACAGACGGAAACGGGAGACCTACATTTTCTTACTCTAATGATAACAAATCGTCCAATGAACCCGATTACTATACTTTCTTAGCTTATCAAGTTCTTGGAATAAATGAAATAACCTCAAAGCCTCCGCAAAATTTCAGTGTATTCAGTATATTGTATATTCAACAAAACTGATATTTCCTTATACAAATTTTCCATTTTAAACATGTTTTAAGTTCCACGTTGTGAAAAGAAGTCTACACCTATTAAGAAAAAAAGACAAAATGTAAGCCCGCCCACCCACCCTATCTCAATTGTGATGATTTTTTTATTCGCCCTGAAACAAAGGGGCAGAGTTTAACTGCAAAACACTTATTTCTTTACAAGAAATTAAAAACACGTTTTTGAGAATCGTGTTCAAAGAATACAATGTATATTAAGAATAAAAGGCAAAATATAAACCCCGCCCACCCACCCCATCTCGATTGTGATGATTTTTTTTATTCTTAGAAACTCGAAACACGTTTAACGTGGTAAATTCTTGTAAAGAAATATGGACGATAGAAAACGTAATCTTTAGCTTTAATTTTTTATTAATATACATAGTAACATTTTGAAGTCGTAGAGTTTTTTTTCAAAAATGTATGTGCATAAAATTAACAATAGAGATGGATTAATAAATCCTGGAATATTAAGCCTATATAATTTTGCACTTTTAAATGGGATTTACTTGGCAAAATTTTAGGTTGACGCCATGAAATTTGTGGTGGGGATGATAAGACAAATTTTGGTTGGCACAGGAAGAGCTTACAGTGGAGAAGTAAAAATAATAAAATCACAGGATTAAAAAAGTTTGTGGAATTTTTTTCAGCAATTTAAATCGAAAAAATGACAGCGTAGCTGTTGAAACGCCTCGTCAAAATGGGTCTTATGGTGTTGTCAATATATTTTCAAAATTTTGTTGACATTTTTGCATCACGTATCTTAAAAAATCAATATTTCAGTTATTTATGGAAATTTTGGAACGGGGTTTTCACCACTGTTTTCAGCTTGCAAAACTTTAGAAATCGTACCAGGGCTATTTTTGACTTTATTTGTTGGGACTGAGATATAATAAAAATAAAAGTTAGCAACAATTTTTTTTACTGTGTATCGTTTCTAACAAAAAAAGTCGACGATATATCTGGTACGATTTTTGGAGTTTTGTAGTTGAAAAAAAATTGACTCATTCGTTAATTTTTATGAGTCACCCTGTATAAGAAATTTAAAAACTTTTAGTGCAATGGTAAACCACAAGGGTAGACTTATCATATTTTGCACATTTTGGATAGGATTTAGTCGGTAAAATTTTGAGATGACGTCATCAATTTTTTAAGGGGATAAACAGGTAGATTTTGATTAAAAATTTACCATGCTTACCATAAGTTTAAGACGCTTGTAGGATTTCAAAGCATTCATAAATCAATAAAATAAATTGACTCTTTCATTAATTTTTTGAGTCACGCTGTATAAGTAATTCTAAAAAACTGAGTGCATCGACGATATTTTGCATATTTCAAAGAAGATTCATTGAACAAAATCTTGAATTCATACATCACAAATGCAGGAATATCTTAATTTATATACATATGTATATATAAAAAAAAATATTGTAAATTTTGGAGATCACGACATTGCGTCTTCGTAATAATATTAAAATGAATTAATTTTAATAATTCGAAAATTCAGGTATTTTATAAATTCGAAACAAAAACAGTATTTTTTTAATTACCGAGTGGTGTATTTTAAAGTTTTAGAGACCCTTTTTGCATCAAGATAAATGCGAATGTTGCACAATAGTAGGAGTGAATTGGTGTGAGTTCTTCTGCTTCAACTAATATCGTATAACAAGGGTATTGAAAAGCACTCCTTCAAAACGGAGATTGTTCTTTGCATAATATACCGGATATACAGAGTAGTTCCGTGCCACTTCCTGCCGCTCGCACGTGTAGGATAGTATATCAAGGATCATTGAATGATCTCGTCTCCCTTTGACCACCCTTATATTAGGGGGTGTAACTGAGAGACATTAGCTTTCATCACGGAGAAATTCAATTAAAATGCCGAACAGAAGCGACACTAAAGCCCATTTTTATTAAGATTTTGTACGAAAAAAAGTGGCGTCGGGGCCGGCTATGAAACAAGATGAATAAATCTTAATAACTTTATGCTAAACTGAAGCGTGAGCCACAAAACATCGACTTGTGTCAAAGGACGCTAACTCGAGCGTCTCGAATTGAGCTTTATCGCTGCAGAATGCGCAAAAATTAATTCTGATCCTTGTCGAGCAACAAAGAGCGTCTGATTTACGGAGGTCACTCCTTTTAGGTAATTTTCTACGATAGCGATTGGAATCCAACCGTAGATCAGCAAGCGATGGATCGAGCTCATCGGCTCGGTCAAACCAAGCAAGTTACAGTCTATAGACTTATTTGTAAGGGATCAATTGAAGAAAGAATCTTACAAAGGGCTCGAGAGAAAAGCGAAGTAAGTTTCCGCGTTATTGTCGCACCATTGACTCTAAATTCTCCTCTTTAGATCCAAAAATTAGTCATTAGTGGAGGCAATTTCAAACCAGACACTCTAAAACCGAAAGAAGTCGTTTCTTTACTCTTGGATGACGCCGAATTGATTCATAGATGTGAGTGATTTGCATTTTTTTGGGGTTGTTTTGGTGAAGGTTTTGTTTCAGCTGAAAAGCTCCGAGCTGATATTAACAGGACGAGTAACGACGAGAAGGACCCGGAAAAGAAGAGGAAACACATGCTGGCATTTAAGGTAAAGGGAGAGTTATTATATACACGGTTAATTTAATTTTGGTATTTGTTGGTGGACATACCTACCTATATTTATTTTAATTGCAAGCGGTACTAGAAATGAATTAGTGAGAATTATAAATATGTAATTTGCGTCTAAGCAGCCGGCTTAAACAAGGAGTAAAAGATCCTAATTGATAGCTACAAGTATTAATTTGCCCGTAATTACTCTTTAACATATACGCATTTATAATATTGTCACCACGCGAAATGCATTTGTCTGTATTTATGCAAATCAGTAAAAGGAGAAAAATGTCACGTCGGTTTCTACTATTGATATTTTTGACCTTTGCCTGAGAAAAAATGCTCTGTCTGTGTGACCGATGGGTGACACATTCGTGTTGTTGGTGCCGTGACCAGGATGCACAATTTAATTACGATAAAAAAAACATTTCATAGACGATTCCCGCGATCCCCGAGAAGAAGGGTAAATCCGACAGCCAGGAAACCTACATCGAAGATTGGAGCAGCACTTTCGACAGCGGTCCCAGCAGTCCCCATAGCGTGAATTCGCCTGACGTTCTAACCGACGACATGGCAGAAAGTGGTTATGGCGAAGAAGATTCTCCAATTACTAACAGTAAATTTGCTTGTTTTTTTATATTATGTAATAATGATAATGTGATTCCTCCGCAGAATATACTGTTTATAACGTGTATGGTTCAACGGTAAAGCCGCGGATTCCGGGACGAGGAGGTTCAAGACGAGGACGACCTCGTGGCTCTAGAAGGATGTCAAGCTTGGGACGAACGAGTAATAGCGTTTCATCCACGAACACCAACGGCGGTAAGTTGATTTTCGGTTTTGCCGGGATTGACATCGACTTGGAGTCTTACGTTCACACGATGCAATAAAACGGGATTTTTTGTACCTGCGTGATCTTCAATGCCTTGAATACGTCGAGACTTGTTTTCAAAGGGTTTCCGTGAGGATATCCGCCAGATGCATTTATAAATGCGCCTTGATTAGAACGGTTGTTTTTCTTGAATTATATAAATCGCTGTGTGGACTTTATGGCTCGAAAGAATTTGATCGGGTTTTATTTTTAGCACAATTGTCAATTAAATGGTCCGATAACTGTAAACGTTGCAATTATGTTGGCAAATGTATTTTTCCTGGACGCTGTGTGAGAGGATGTTCGAAGCCATTAATTAAAATTTTCAAAATTACAGCTAGTGTTTTGGATGTAAATTAAAATATCCGGTTGGGAATAAATAAATCAAAAAGTTTAACGATTAAAGCTTCACTTAATTGATAACGCTTTCCTATACTGCACGGACTAGAAAATTATAAAAGTCTGTTGAACTGAATATTCATCACGGGCGATCAATGCGACGGGATTTACAACATACTTATTAAGATTTGTTGCGCTCCTTGTAATGTTATGATGATGGCTCGGATTATATATTATTATTATTATGACGTAATTTTATTAAACGAATCGATTATTTTTAAAAAATATCCAAAACTGTTTAGACGGAACTTCCCTCGTTTCTAAAGCACAATTAAATAAGTCTAGATTCGTAAATAATTATAAAATTTTACTCTACCGGTTTTATTTTATTATTATTATTATTATTATTATTATTTTTGCATGCGGTATTTATTGCGGTTAAGAGGCGAGGGAGGTTCAGTTTAAATAACTACAAGTATTTGTAACAGAAAATTGTATAAACTTAGCTAAATATGCGCTTTGCGCGTAAAATTCGAGCCACCTTTGATTCGTTCATTCATAACAATACACAGAGTACAGGTAGACTTAAGTCAAATATACATAACTTAAGTCAGTATATTTTACGTGAATTTTAACATATTGTTCTCGTCGAGTTGAATTACGTATCAGTTTAGAATTGAGGTGTATGTGGAAAGTTTTGTCTTAAAATAATAAATCACAACATTAATGATTCTCGTCCTAATTATTACTACCGGTCGAAAATGAATAATAGAGACAAATAAATACACCTACCACAGATTTTCTCTTAATTTTAAATAACGCCAAGTCTATTTGGATAGGACGGACATATATCAAATGATATTTCATCATGTACTCAGTAGGTGTAGAGTAAAACATAGGATTCGCGTAGAAAGCGGATTCTATAAGTAATAATTACTCCGTGAATTATAAGCATTTCATCATTCCGACCAATATTCAATCGACAGAAACTGTATAAATTTGAATATCATTCTTTTTTGCGTTGATTCGGTACTTTTACATTATGCACCAATCTATTGCAGAAAACGATTATTCACCCAACAGCCAGTCAAGTTTAAATTCTCCAATTTCAAATAATTTTTTGAACGTTCCTCTGGGAGTCAGCGGTGGTAGTGTCCAGTCATCGAATCCAGCAATCCGAAGAGGACCGGGACGCCCTAGGTTAAAACCTTCAGGACCGCCAAATACAGGGACGAGAGGAACGTACAGGCCGAGGAAGCCTGCGAGACCTTTACCGGTACCACTGCCATCCGATGGTTCGAATGTAAATAGTTCAACGTCTGGTTCCAGCGCGACGCCCTCATATTCTACTTACTTATACGATATACCTGATCAGGCAGATAGCTAATTTCATTAATTACTTTATTTAATTATATTATCAGGAGACGATTTTATTAATTGAAATTATACATATTTTTTCAATAACAGTCATTTATTTATGTTAAATTTAATAAAAAGCTTTCGAACAAGTCGTGTTTATGTCTAAACCCAATGTCCACCGTGAGAAAAAATTCTGACTTGGCGGAAATAAGTATAACATACATGGAAGATTATAAAAAGCAAAATAAATATACAATTATCTACTTATAAAAATCACAAGCGTGTCGCAGTAACGTACAGATTTTTTGTGCCGATTTCGCTACGTAATCATCTTGACTGATACGCTCAGACGGGGCGTACGGACTCGATGATGGTACAGCTTGGCGCAGAAACCATGAATCGAAACTGAAAAAAGGACACTATATACGTGTCATTTTGCATATAATTTTATTCATTAATTGTAATTATAATTACTAATATGTTGTAGTCGCGTCTCTGTCGCACGTTTGCGAGTGACATGTAAAGGTCTCCGTGCCATCGTGTCGCAAAATACCTTTCTTGGAAAGAACGGCGTCCTAGAAAAGACGACTTATTGAGTCGCCAGGAACGAAGTGGCGACTAGAAAGATTACGAAAAGTGGAAAGACAGTCTCGATGCGACGAGACATTAATATATACAGTGAAAATACACCTGTTACGCTCAAATCATATATACTCATTAACGGTGCTCCAATATTATCAGTTTTTCAAAAAAAACAATCTGGTAGTCCAGTTTCGTCTGTTAAATTTGGATAAATACGTATTTTTGTCACTTTTAGCCAATGGAAAATTGCGACAGCGCAAATATAGTGAAGTATGTATATTTATATTATCGATTTTCTAAATTTCAGATATCTGTAAGTATTATTTTTGAAACAATACACCCCATTAGAAAAAGGTACAAGGTAGGTACACATCTACTAACACCTAGGATTATTAAATTTCAGAGTAATTGAGTTTTTACAATTAAAACACAAAAATCGCTTCATAAGTTTAAATATGAACAAATAGGAGTTTCGGACATTATTGTCAACTGTAGTCTACCTCATTTTTCCAAAAGGCGGCACATTTTTGAACCTGCTAGTTTTTGATTTTTTTTTTACATTTGAGTAAGGAACCGGACAATACACAGCTTTCAGTGTCTCTGTACCACTATCAAGCAGGAGTGGAATTTTATATACATACTTTCAAATGAAATAAAAGTTCGGCCTTTCAAAAGTTAGATTTTGCACTAAATCAGTAACATTTATAATTTGTTTACTACCTACACAATCCTTCTAAAATACATATACAATTTGAGGACGATCGGTCCAGTAGTTTCAAATTTATCTCTCTAATAAAATTCACACAGACTACAGACAGATAGACGGAAACGGGGTACCTATTTTTTCGTACTCTAGAGACCATGAAACCTCGAGAAAACTAGTAAAACTCGGAAACAACTTGGATAATTTATATAAGAAATTGGATTTTTACTTCCCGAGTGTAAGTAAACTAAGGTAGTGTTGTAATCGAGTCCATCGAACGACTGGCACGTTTCATGTTTTCTCAACGTTTCATGGTCCCTAGAATACGCAAAAATAGGTGTCCCATTTCCGTATGTCTGTCTGTCTATCTGCCGTCTATCCGGATTTTTATTAAACGGATGATCTAAACTACTGGACTGATTGTTGTCAAATCTCATAAACGTGTATTAAGAATATCGTGTAGATGGTAAAACGCTAACCAGAACCTGAACAATGAAACTGCAAACCCTAATGCTCCAAAATCTTGCAAACTTTTTAAGGTTATCGTACGTAAGGTAAATACTAGATACTTTTTACCCTAGTGATCCAGATTTTTGGAAAAAAAAATCTAAATTTTATAACAACATTTTACAATTTAACTTTGAAATTGCAAAACCTACGTAAAATCTCGCTGCAAAAATCAGGACGTCATCTTACAATTTTTGTCGTCAAATTTTAGTGTTTACGCTAGACATCCAGTTTTTTTAGGGAAGAAACCAAGTGGACTTAGTTAATTAATTAGTTCTCTCTGTGTTGCTGTGTTAAGGAGAAAATATCAAACAAATTTCATTTTTGACGTATAAACATAAACTGTCGAAGTTAAGCATGTACGAAAAGTTGAGAATATCTACATTTTTCCCGTTATCTGCCTTAAGTATATGTATTTCAAACTGTCCGCTGGCTGTGCGGGTGTAATTTACGCCACTAATTTTTAGTTTATATACATGTTTTGACTAAACGAAAATCGTAAAATTAAAATTTATAATCAAGGAACCGGGATTTGTCGGACGGTTTACAGGGCGAAGAAATAGGTCTCCTTCAAGGTTAGTTAATAGAGAATCTATTAAATGACTTTGGGTCTCCTTTTTCTGTCTGTCTGTCCATCTGTCTGCCTGTCCGTCTGTCTGCCGTCCCGGATTTTTATTAGACAGATAATCTCCGAAAGTACTGGGTCGATTGTTGTCAAATTTTGTATTTATATTAGGAATATCGTATAGATGGTGAAACGCCAACCAAAATTTGTCTAGTCGTCCCCACTAACAATGTGATGACTTCACTTCAATATTGCACATAGTAAATTGGTTTTAAATTGTATCAAATAACATAGTCTTAAACATGTAGTTTATGACTCCGAACAGAGTTTTTACCCGAAATGTCCAGATTTTTGGAAAAAAAATCAAAATTATAAAACATTTTGCAATTTAATTTTGAATCCCGAATGCTTTGAAATTTTGGAGATGTTTTAAAGTTATCATAAGCATGGTAAATTTTTAATCAAAATGTATTTGCTCATCCCCTTAGAAAATTGGTGACGTCACCCTAAAATGTACAAAATATGATGAATCTGTACTTGTGATTTATCATTCCATTCATATCTTTTTTGGATTTGCGTATACAGGGTGACTCAAAAAAATTATCATTGTATTTCAGCAGCGGGGGAAGTTCTGACTAAACAACTTTCGACCAATTTTTTAGATTTGCCCCCTATTTTCTCAGAGGATATGTCATTTGCCAAAATTTGTTTTATCTTAGCAAGGACTAGCCCCGCCCACCCGCCCTCTATTTTCTGAGCGGGTATAGCATCTGCCAAAATCAGTTTTATCTTAGCAAATCTTATCCCCGCCCGCCCACCCCCTATTTTTTGAGAGGATTATGTCATGTGCAAAAATCAGTCTTATCTTAACAAATACTAGCATTTTGGAAAATGATATACCTTGTAAGAAAATAGAGGGCGGGTGGGCGGGGCTAGGACTTGCTAAGATAAGACTTATTTTGGCAAATAACCTACCCTCTGAGAAAATAAGGGGCGGGTGGGCGGGGCTAGTACTTGCTAAGATAAGACTTATTTTGCTTCTATTAATCTTGTAAAAACTGGTTAAATTTAAAAGGTGTAAATTGTAAATTTGCATAGTAACGAGTTCAATTCCTAAATTCTCTATTAATCAAATTAAAAACGAGTCTCCCCATTTTCCCGAAAATGTGAAAATACAAACGTCTTTATTTAGTAAGAATTATAACAATGATATTCAGAACATTTTGTCGATTGTAGCTTACTGGTTAATTGTTTTGATCCTCTGTTTTGAGGGGACGAACTCATTCAAATCGTACTTATTTCTACGTGACATTCTTCCGATGTATAAACAATAAACATAAACACTTTCAAGTTGTTTTTCTGATCGAGGATAACCTAAGGACGTACAGTAATGGCAATTTGGCACTTTCAGATTTTCTCGATATTTCATAAGGCCGTAGCTAGGAGATGCTCCTCTAAATCTACAGAAATTATAATTAACCAAACGTGAATTACAGCATCCAAAAACCAAATAAAATGTAGTGTTTTATTTAATAAACGGAAGTCAGAGCAATAAAAATGTCTGAACCGTCGGCATTGTCATCCGGTTATTGCAATTCGTAGAAAACATGTTTTAGTCTACTTTGTGTTTCGCCGTCACGTCTACAGGTTGATAAGTGTTAAGGCTATTTGTGTTAAATTACAAGTACTATACAGGGTGTTCATTTTATCTGTTCACGTCTGACAATTTTTACACAGCCCAGAGGCGACTTCGTCCAATTTAATTTTTTTTTTTTAATATGCAATCAGCAATTACAGAAAAAACAATAACAAAGATATCAATGCCAAATAATGACAAAATTGAAAACATTAATACTCAATTTATTTTATTGTTGTTAATATTTGTTCTACATCTATCCATTTCATCAACATTTAGTTCAACTTTTGTCTACAAAAGGCTGTCATTCCCGCTACAGTTACTATAGGACGTATCCTCTTTTTATCGTTGCATCTAGATCTAACTACGTGAACAGCAAACAGAGCGGGATTAAGTGGGTTGACTTTTAGGGTTCCGAAACTCCCCGATAGTTACCCATTCACTCTTGCTTAACACTACTTCATTCACCTTTGCCATTTTGACCAAATTTTCATTAACAACTGATAGAAATATTAAAATTCTGTAAACTCCATTGCTTTTAGCTTGATCGGGGAAGCTTATGCAAGCCAAAAACAATGACGTGTGCAGAATTTCAATATTTTTATATGAAACGCCTGTATATGATTCTATGTCTACAGAATTTCTTTCATTCCTGAGACTCGCTTGTTTACTTGTTTAAGAAATTGCTTTGAAAAACTAATAGTAATAATGACAATGGTAAATTTACTTGATATAAAAACGAAACAAATAATATATCAGGTGGGAAAAAATTTGTTGTGGCTGCGGGAAAAACAGCAATATGCGTGTGTGACGTTTTCGCGTGTGGGTTTTGCTGCGGCGGTTGTGGGTGTACATCCTGTGGAAGAAACAATGCGTCGAATCATTTGTAAATGTGTGTACATTATCGATCAACTGGCGGCTCCTTTATTTGGAGGCTCTTGAGAGTTCATAGACTCAGTGCTCCGAGACGGAATTCACTTAAACATGAGAGTAGCGCTAAGAAATCTAAATCCGTCCAGTGTCTCAGGCCGCCACAAGCGTCGCGATGCCTCCCGCCACTGTCGATCGGCACCAGTATTCCCTGGCGACGCACTAAATGTGTTCGTTCAGTAGATTTCGCGACAACTTCATGAATGTAAAACTGTCAGATGAATAAACATATGAAATTTTTTGTGTAATTTCCATTTCGAAAAACAGGAATCTGCGGTTGCTGGGCATCGTTCGCCAGCGCGTAAACCATCAGCGGAAGTGTTAACTAATACTAATTAAAACAAGAATCAATCAATGGTTTCAATTAGGTGAGTGCTAAATCGGACCGGACTGACACCTGAAATAGAATAATTTTGATGAAGCAAAACAAGTAGTACAGAAAACAGACACGATATATTTATATCTCACTTAGAAGAGGTCGAGTTTGTAATTCGTTAAATATAAATCGCTGAAAATTTTTAACCCTTGAGAATCTTCAAAGTGTTAACCGAAAATGAACGGTATTGGGTTCAGTGCGGTGGGACTAGTCCAGTTCCTCTGGCGAAAATCACAGTGCTAAACATGAGTGGCAGTGGGGTTCTGTTCAAAATACTGACGATCCCGGTATGTGGAAACACTACTGAGTGTATTGTTTTTAAGTGAAAACACACGATTTTGCGTTAAAATGCTAAAAGCAAAATTTTCGGTAAGTCATACGTGGTGTTTGGTAATTTGAGTTAATTTTATCTTAACACTATTAATACAAGCGCAAAAGTGAGAGGCTCCCACTAACATTGCAAATTTTGTTACCGACCAAAAAATCAGGTGACAGCGACATCTATTTAGAAAAAATTGCGTAATTGTTGCTAAATTTAGACCTCCGCAATGTCAAGTTCACTCTTTTTAACGCAGTTGTTCCAATAGGCGCTAATGCCATTAATTCTACTAAAGAATGTTAAACTGTCACCATTACGTTTTACCGGTATCTACAACACAAACACTTCACCCCAAGACTTTCACCCTTAACTCGACGTAGGGACGTGTAACGGAAACAGATTATCAAGATACAGAAGATGTAATTATTTTGTAAATAAGACACGGTATAAATAATAATTAGTTTATGCAAATTTAACACAGTATAAACCCCATTTATTGTAATTAAGGACGGCGACATTTAGTACAAATAGCCCGACTAATTTATTCTGGACAGATGCGGGTCTAGGACACCACTATAGGGGAATCATAACAATTTCAAGTCTCCAACAATTATGTGAAAACAACTATAAAAAAAATACAGCCCTAAATTTTTATTTAGGTTAACTTCAACAACATGAAATTTTCTGCTGGAGACCAAATATATGACGTCATCGACGTTCCTTAAACAGTAAACTTATTTTTTTATCCATGATGTGATTCCACTAGTCTAATAAAAGAACAAACCAAACGATATACCATGGAATTAAAAAAAAAGTGATTCATACGTGCAAGTACTCAGCTCTATATCCGTTATATCCTACGTGCATTGCTCACAAGTATATATAGTTGAATAATAAAACAAATTATATATACAACGAAAAATGAAATTTCAAAAAAACCACTGACGAATTACTGAGCTATTTACACTAAGTAACAATAATGCATAAAAACAAAGTGTTGTTTCTTTACTAGGTAATTTAACGTTTTCTTTCATTTCAACGTTTTCATAGTCTATATATCTAGCTTTGGAAAAAAGATTCAACAAGCAAAAAAATTGCGTCATGCAAGTATACTAAACTCAGTTGACACCTAGTAAAACTTTTATGACTTAAGCAGCTTAAGCCAAACCACGCTTAGAGGTCAAACTGGCTATTGTAAGCTTTGTGGATCCATTGCTGTCATAATAGAGTTGCAAAGTTTACTAAGTGTATGTCAAGTGAGCTTAGTATATTTATAAAATTTGATTATATAGTTAATTTATGTACGTAATTAATTTTCAGTTCTAATATGACCCAATTAGATTTTATCGAGTGATTTCGATTAATTAAAATTTAAATATATTTTTTACTCTAATTTAATCAACATTAAAAAATTCCAGATTTATTCTGTGCATTACTACAGAGTTATAGGCAGGCTTGCCCCCAATTAACAATGTGATATGACGATATGAGTGACAATAACGTCGTTATTAGTTGAATAGAGGTAATTAAGTTTGAGAAGACAAAAACTGTCGAGTATATTATGAGTTATAACGCAAAGCACCGTTTGTAAAAAGTTCCAATTAACGTTGGTATGGAAGAGGGCGGGCTTCCGAGCATGCATTATTACTTTCCGGTTTCCGCATGCAACACAAATTTCTAGTTTAGAAAAAAGAAAATCAATTATAAAAAATCTACAGAGTTGATGTCAGTATGTTGTTTCTGGACCAGACAAACAAAAATGCCCAAAAACCACCAAAAAAATTGGGCACACACATACTCCTATACTTGTGGTTTATGAATTTGCCTTGATTTTGATGGTTATTATTATAATTTTTACTATTCAGTATTTCTTTTACCATTTTCTCCCCGTCTCCGCTTAATCTAGTAAACAGAAACACTGATTTTTTGTTAGTTCCTTTTTCTTGCTGATGTACCAGGTTGTGTTCAGAATAAAAACACTATATTTTCACCGTTCTTTCCCCAACCGCCTACGAAACCGCGGGACCACCGCGTCTCTGATGAGAGTAACCCCGGCGTTTCCTAGGCGACGCGGCCCGAGTTGAAGGTGCCAGCCCCGTGGCGTGAAGGTATCATTTTCATCCCGACCGTCCAGGCATGTCATCTGGCCACACCCCTAGAGGTATCGGGAAACCTCCGCCCTCGACCGTGACCCCCGGGTTTCGTTGACATATTTTCCACACTTGGTCTTCTTTAATCTATGTTTCTTTATTTTCAGATCATCACACGGAAGTATTTTAAATTTCTTTTTCACAAAATTATTATTTTATTTATTCACTTGCATAACATTAATAATTGTATAGTGTGGGCCCAAGTGTGTTGAAATTCAAATTTTCCCGCCAAAAGGTGACCAGGACCCCCACTATACACCCTCTATGTAGTGGAATCAATAATTATTTGTTTTTGTTTATTGTTGGTCGTGCTGGTGTTAACACACATTAAAGACCTCTCGTGTTAATAAGTGATGGTCGTGTTGATGATTCTGCTCGATAGACACACCTATAAACGGAATAAGCTGTCGTGAAGGAGAAGATCCTGTAAAAATAGATAGGATTAAATTTGAACTAAACAGTTTTTAGCTCTTTGATCATAGTTTTAGTGATTTTCAAATGATTCTGGTTGAGTCTGGAGGAGTTTCAAACGCAATTTCTATTACTTCCTTTTGGCTATCTTGTAGTCCCTTTATTCAGATACATGATTCAAATTCGCCCCAACTAAAATCCTTTAAGTATTGTGGTCTCCATTCGCTCCACATTTCTTGATTTATGGTGATCTGACAAGTGTAATAAAACCCTTTCAGTTCTACAACCAGGTGATATTTTCTTTTTGTGGCCACCAGTTGTATGAAATATATTGTGTGCTCAATACAGGATCTTTTCATAACTATACTGTGGTTTTCCCCGTCTGTTATCTCAAATCAGTCACCTTGATCGACCCCAGGGTGTGAAGTTTAGTGTCCTCGTTATTTTTCTATTTGACTTTATTGAACAGCGACAAACAATTGCGTGAATTGTATTGGACTTATTAAACCTAATACTAACTATATTAACTGCAACACCTGCCAAGTATTTCTGCGTGTGAACGTGTAGGACTTAATTAACGCGACGTTAAATGGATTCGTGCTAAGTTCAGAGTTATAAAAGTTGTATGTGATTCATGCCACACCATCAGTTCAGTAGTTTCGGAGATAATAAAAACAGACGGCAGACAGACGGACAGACAGATAAACAGTCGGAAACGGGAGACCTATTTCTTCGTACTGTAGGGCTCACGAAAGGTACTCGACTACAATACTTCCTTCGCTTATGCTCGAGAAATAAAAAGGTGCCACATAAAAAATATCAACAACTTCATGTGCTTTACACAAATTGTATACAATATGGAACAATTTCAGTAAATCGTTTTGAACAATCGATGGTAAAATTGGGTAGAAAATAAGGGTTTCATTTTATTATTAATATTATTATTACTATTGCTATTATTTTCAGACTAAAAGTTAATCCATTCTTTGCACATTGCTCTAAGTTTCCCACGCTTTCTATCAAAGCAATCTAAATTTTTCATAACTTTACAATATGTGCATGTTTTCATTTATGAATTATCTTTGTTGTCCATTTATTACATTAAAAAATAATTAAATATTGATTTGTTTTGGTATTGTGTCCAATTTTTAAGGCATTTTAAAACCAGACTTTGTGGTTTTAAGACATTTTTAACGATTTGGTAACATATTAGTATATATAAAGGTATATATATAAAGTAATTTTTGACATTGCTTCACCAAATTTCTGCAAGAAATGAATAAAAATTTTGTTAATGTTCTCTGATCGTTAAATCAGTGTTAGTGTTGCCAACATTTCCACAGGCGGTTATACAGTTTCATAAAATTAATTACCAAAGTAATTGGTTCAGTAGTCATACAGATTAATTGTCTAATAAATTTTCAACACGCGTAAATGAAAAATTTACTGAAGCACAAACAATATTTTTCAATAAAGATGAAATAATAATAACCTGCTGAAATTACTAAATTTATTTTTAGGAATAATGTGAATGCTTATTAAAGCGCACACACAGACAAACATGTTTTACTTCACTTTTCAAGGTTACTTAATATTCTGAGACGACGTCATACGTTTTTTATAATCTGATAATTTTATGGTAATCTGTCTAATAAAATAATTAAAAGGTAGCGGAAACTGGAAAGGTGCATTTTCGTATCCTACCACGTGTTAAGTGCACTGGTATTAAAAGTTGGGTACATTGTATAATGGAAAGTTGGGAATAATGAGAATAATCTTAAATGCGAGGTATTGCATGACCCAATGATTCGACACCGTGTGTTGATCTGCACCATCGGTTGCCACAATGACAGGTGTAGACGTAAAAGCAGCAGTATTGAGCACCTGCTTCCATATTTAGCAGGTATCACTACACTGTTTTAGTTTAAAATTTTAAAAAGGTAAAAAGGTTAATTATTCTCCGCCATTATTGGGGGTAATACTTAATTAAAAGCCGAATAAATTCATTTCGTATTTTGAAAAACATCGACAAATTAATTGAAGTGCACTCTTTGGCATTCAAACAGGTGCCCCTAATAAAAGATGTACCAAATCTATTAGATTTAACAGGTGCCCCATATTTTAAAATCTTTCACATTTTTGAGGGGAAGAAAGTAGGATCCACCAGGTGCACCTTGGAATCAATCTAGAGCCAGCTTGAATCTAATTGTTGTGACGCTCTATCAAAGCAGTTTTATTTATGTGCGTGATTGTAACTTACGCGATTTGGAGTTGGTCCAAACTAATAGAAAATTTCCCAAATCAATCCACGCCGGCCATGAAACTTTGATAAAATAAGGTCGACTTTCGTGCGACACCGAAAAACAAGATGTTTTGCTTCGATTTTCTCACGAGTATCCGTGGAGCAACATCTGCTTTGTAAGAAAAATAAGGACTTAAGAACACGTGCCCTATGCTTTTCACGTTTTCAAAGAATTTACCTTTCTATA